CATGCTAATTCGAGATCAATATTTGTACTTAAAAATGTTTCAAGTATCACTTCATGACCTCGAATATAAAGTGCACAGACTTTCATTTTGTATACAATAAGAATCTATTGTAATGAATGATATACTTGATTGTTGTTCATTAGTTAAATTCAATTGACTAACAATTGTACTACGTTGTGTTAATATGTCAATATGGTATCGAAGTAAATATTCGGCATTATCAAATGAAGGATAAAAATCTAATTGATGCTGTTCAGTTGATAACCTTGTATTTTTAACAATACAATGAGCTTAATAATAAAACGCTGCATGAGCAAATTTCGGTTCTTGATCAATAACTCGAATGAATAATTGTAGTGCTTGATTATACTTCTTATTTTTTGTGTAGTATTTACCTAATTTAATCAATTGACTAGGTTCAGTAATAAACGATTCGGTAGCTTGACAAAACGATTGAAGATTATCTGATTGATTGATAAATCGATCTAAGAGTTGTACAATTTCATCTAACCAAAACGCCCATCGATTAAGTATGGAAGTTAAAAGAATTTCTTTTCTATCATCGGAAATATTCCAAATATGTTCTAATTTTTGTTTCAATCGACCATATGCTCGACAATATCGTTGAAATAATTTTTCTTCAAATCGAATCGATGTTTCATAATAATGCTGAATGTCTCCGACACGACATAATTTATTATAATCTCGTTCATTTTTTAGATCAATTACATATAATAAACTTTGACATTGATTGAATTTATTGTTAAAATGATCAACAAATATCAATTGTCCTGAACCATTTTGACCTTTACGAGTTGTTCGACCGAACGTTTATTGTTCAATTCGATAATTATCTGGTAAATAACTCAGAATAACATGTAAACCACCATGATTATCTAATGTTTCATTAACTTTAATATCTGTCTCTCGTCCTGCTAGATTCGTTGCGGATGTGGGGTGTAGGTTTGAATGAGAACGCGACAACTACACCCACACCTTATAACACATTATATATTAATTTTTTTGTTTTTTAGGTAAATATTTATTTCAAAACAAGAAAAATCATTTTTATTCTATTAAACTAAAGAATTGAACAAGTTTTTATTTTCAATCGATTTTTATAAATATCAATTTTTGATGATGATAATGATATTGAAGAATTTCTTGATGATGTTATTGATAACAATTTTTCAACTTCAATTTGAAATCGAATAAATTCATGAATTGATATTTGAATATCAGGAATATGATCTTGTTGACATATATGATGTAAATCACTATTTAATAATGATATAGTTTCTGTTGAATTTTGTTTACAAAATTCATATAATCTAATAACACTTTGTCCATCGAAATTTGTAATTAATTTTAAAAAACCAGGCAAATTTATTAATGCACACCAAGCAAGAACTTCTGTATTTGTCCAATTTTCTAAACTCATTATTTCTTTTGCACGTCGACGATTACTAAAATTTGTAAGCACAGAACGTCGTTCCATATGAATATTAATATGTTCAGTATCAGTTATTGATGGTAAGATTGTTTGTATGTTTTCAACATCATTTGGTATTACACGTTGAAGTAATGTTTCTATAGCATGAATACGAATTTGTTCATCATTATCTGGATTATTTGTTGATGTATAAACTTTCCATGATAGAACTTGATGACCAGATGCTGTAGCATAAAGCAGTTCTGTACGACAACGATTATTTAATCTATACATATCACTAAGACAAACAATTAAATATTGTGTATTATTCATAAGTGATATAAATGATGAAATAAAATTATCATCCATATGATCATATATTGTCCATACACGAAGACCATTTTTATTTAATTCATGTTCAATCATTTCAACAGTTTTATGATCACTTGGATCATAACTTATACCAATCGTTTTACCAAAATTATGATCATTTATTATTGAATGCTAAAATATAATTATTATTATCATTTATTATCAAACTATTCAAGTATAAAGAACTGAAATTTTTATTTTAGTATGATATTCTTAAATTTTTCAATTGTGATTTATAAACTTCTAAGAATTTCTTCGATGAAAAGTTTTTCTTTTTTACGTTCATACAATCCTATTCAAATACTATAGAACGTAACATAAAAAAGAATGCTTAACTTCACTGCACATACTATTCAGTGACCGGACTTTTCATTACAGGACAAATTGTTGCAATATATTTTCTGAGTATGAGTGTGTATCGATCTGAATCTGCATGTGTGGGTATTAGCGAAGAAAAAACTCACATCCATTTTGTTCTTGCATTATTCTGTCTATACGAAGAATATTTTACGATGATTTGTCCCACTACCCTTTTACTAGTTTGCGTTTTTTATATGCTTCTGTTTGTATCCGTGTATTACTTACTTCTAGATGCTAGTTGATAATTTTTCAAAGAAAAAAAAGATAAGATATTTGTGTATCTTAAAGAATCAAGTGTGATTTTTCTTTTCTATTTTTCAAACCACTTCAATATCAAAAATGAAAACTATTTTTTTTTTTGTTGTGTGAAGACTATGGATTATGGATATGTATTTTCTTAGATGTTTTCTTGCAATACACTGTGATTTCTTAGTTTTTCTTCAGACTTATTCAGAAATGTTTACATTGAATATGATGATTAATTACAGATCTCTACACGGTGCCATATCATTTATCTTAAACGATAACTTCTGTCGAATAATCAGAAATATGTTTCATGTTTTCTGTATACTATTTTGAGTTCGATAAATAGTTAAGACCAAAAATGTTCTTGATTAAATCAGTTAGATCATCATTATTATATTTGATTAGAAAAAGATTCTTTCTTCGAAGGAAATTTCTAAATTTTAATTTAGAATAATAACTAAATTCTTTAACTTACTTGTGATAAATCCAATTGATCAAGATTATAAAGTAATCCACATGTAATTTGTTTAACAGACATTTCATTTGTAGTTTTATTTATTTTTTGTATAATATCAAAAAGATTTTGTTCATTTTGTTTTAAAATTTTTTTAATATTTTCATTAAATGATAATGACCATAAAATATTTAATGTAATCATTGTACATTCATAATAAATAATATTATCATATAAATTTTTATTTTCATAATTAATAATAACATTTATAAATAAATTTAAATATTGATGACGAATAATTTCTTGTATATAATCATATTTTACAATATATATTAAACTTTTAAAAAACATATTCATTGGTATACGATTATAATGATATGAATGAATATTTTGTAATGACATTTGAATATAATTTAAACATGAAAGAAATAATTTTTCTGATAAATCATTATTTGTTGTTGAACTTATTAATATAAGTAAAAATAATTGTGCCATAATACTAATACGACGATTTCCACATAATTGTGCTTGTTCAATTAAATTTTCTAAATTTTTTATATAATTATTATCTATTTGAATTATATATTGAATTAATAAATAATTATTAAAACAATAAATAATTAAATAACATATTATTGAATCAATTAATATTGTTTCATATGTTGACCAATTCATACATATATTTATATAAATATTTTCATGAAGTATTAATGAAAATAAATTAATTAATAATTGTCGATTATTATTATTATCAATAATTAATGTATAATTAATAAGATATGTTATAATACCTGTTAAACAAGATAAATTATTTAATGTATTTATTTGATTTTGTTTTAATATATAATTTATAAAAATAATATAATTTGATAAATATAATTCTAATAAAAATTTTGCATTATCACATTCATTTTCATCACAATTAACATGTATACCCATTGCCATTGTACATATACCTAAATAAAATTGATGATATACTGTTATAATCATTGTTTGATTATTTTCTATTAATAATATAGATTGTTTATATTCATTTGAATTTAAACATTGAATTATTTGATGATTAAAATAAAGAAATTTTTCATCTAATGTTGAATCAATATAACTATGTTCAAAAAATATATAAGATTCATACCATGGTAAAATCATTTCAATAAAATCGAATTCATTTTTATTCATATTTGGTAAAATTTTCATTAAAATATCAAATAATTCTTTATTATTATCAAATAATAATTCACGTACACGTTTATGATGTTCAAGATTATTTTTTGTTTGTTCATTTTCTTGATCAATATCATCATTATCATTTTGTAATGTTAATGCTAGACGTCGATTAAATGTACCAACAATAGTTAAATAATTTAATTGTTCAACAACTAATGAATGTTTTTGATGATACCATTGTTTGAATAAGTATGCGGCAACATATTCAAACGTATCAAATGCTTGTGGTCGTCGATTGATAATTATATTAAGAAAAGTATTATCGGATGTTACTGCTAGACATGATTCTAAACATGTTCCAAGTCTTTGTAATAATGTTCGATCATTATAATTTAATGAACTCCATCCATTACTATTTCGTTCAATAATGTCCAATTCTTGGTCAAGAGTTGCTTGCATTTTTTGTTAAGTATTTGCTTTCATATAAGAACATATAGACAAACGTACATGTTTCTTATCAAAGCAAGGTAAGCTCATATTTATTTATCTCTGTTCTTTCTTTTAAAAACGATTACATCATTTACTAACATACTATTATTTTTTTTTTTTGTGTCTTTTTTTATTTGTATGATTTAAAATATTTTAAAGAAGAAAAAGAATGAACTAGTTATAGAGACATAATATGATAAATTTATAAGAAAAAAAAAAATTGTGTAAGTGTGCATGATCTAATCGAAAAAAGAAAACGATTGTTTTGTTGTGGTATTAAAAAAAAAACAGAAGAAAAAAGAAAAAGAAGAAAGCAACGCTTGTTCTACTACCGCTGCTGCGCACATACAAATTCACAGAAAGGTAATAGAGGCATAATAGACAAAAAAGGAAAACACATGTGAAAAAAGAAAAATGCTTGCTGCGGCTACTGCTGCTGCTGCTGTCACCACCACCACCAAAATAAATTGATTTCGTTGCTTAATAACCCGACAATTCGTTCAATGTCATATCGAGTTCATCACTGACATTCTTGTATTTCTCTCTTTCGGCAAGTAGTTCGTCTACAAGGAAGAAAATTTTTTCAATATGTTCTTTAAACAATAACAGAATGATCTTCATTCAAAAAGAAAAAACAATAAAGCAAATATTTCGCTTACGATTAAAAAAACAATCGATCAATAATAAAATGCATACATACAAAATAATAATAATAATAATAATAATAATGGTAATGATAAGACGAAGGAAATAAAAATTGAAATTTCACAACACACACAACAACAAATAAATCAAAGTACATTCTGAAGATCATTGATCATAGAATCCATTTCACATTGCAAACTTTTGGTGCGCACATTCTCATTTGTTATATCGCCTGAAATACACGCACACAAATGCAGGATAGAATAAGGAAATAAATTTGGTTAAAACATGCAGTAGTGTGTTAGTAATATATAATTTTTTTTTTAACGACATATTTTTATATTCTTTTCAAAAGATAAGTATTAACGAATAGACTCCATTATCATCAATAGATTCGTGAAAATCAAATCTCATGTGAACTACATCTATTAAACTAATTCATGACGTAAATGAATTACAAAATAATAATTTAAAATTTCTATTTGTTATTAAAAGAGACCTATACTAACATCTACGACAACAGTTGATACAAATTAGTAAATATTGAATTATTTTATAAATCATTTACGTCATTCAGTGATTAAAATACATCTCTATTCAATGCAAAATAAAGCTAAGGTGTATAATCTACATAAATCAATATCACGTACAATTTTGAATTCAATTAATAGAGTCGAATTAGTATAACATCTAATGTGAAGTTTTCGTTCAAACTGTAGGGAACTATTTTTGTTGTATAAATTATAAATAATCATTAAGAATAGAAACAAATGCTTCATAGAGAATACTTTAAGGGAAATCCGTCAGGGTAGATAGATCTCAAGTCTTCAAATTTCTAAATACTTCAATCTAGGAAATATTTGAATTACAAAGGCTAAAAATCGTCCAATTTTCTCAACCGCAATATGTCGAATTGTTATATAGATACTCGATACTACTTCGGGTGCTTACTTTGTATCAGGATGTTTTTTTCTCGAACTAGAGTGATTGAAAGTTGGCAGTGTTAGAGAAGCCCTCAGCATCTTTAGAAATTATCATTAGGAGAATTTTGTATACAAAGAATTTATCACAGTGCGAGTTTTTCGAGTGTTAAAGTTTAATAAAAAAAAAAGTACTAACTAACAATTAATTAGTGTATCCTCTAGTCGATATCATATGATCTTTCTTCGTAAGTCTATACAATATACATAATAATCTTGATGATAAATTTCTTTACTTTATCGATAGAAACTAACTATTATCATTGTTCAAACAAAACATGATCGATAATGTTATCATACATAAAATATTGCACCATTTTATTCTGCACGTCTCTCAATGTATTCTTATCTATTGAATAAGCAAAATTCATTTGAAAATAATACCTTTCAATTGATTTGCATTTCTCTGTAAGACAAGCATTGTACGGGTGGCATGCTCAGCTTTGTTTTCCGTCTAGATATATATACACACAACTAATGTACATGCAGCATGCAAATATTAAATATAGTAAAAAAAGAAAAGAAAAGAATAAAACCCATGCAAAAGGAGGAGGCCGAATGTGTATTGAAATTTATTTTATGATTGTGATATTACCTTCAAGACGATCGACCTCCTTTTGCAATTTGGCCATTGTACGTTCAGCAAGATCAGCACGTTGTTCAGCCTATACTCGTATGATTGAGATAAATATATAGGTTTTTTTTTTCTTATATTATTTATTTAATTTTATTCTCATTATTTTTCAAAAAAAAAAAAAAGAAATCAAAACGTACCTCTTTAAGACGTGTAGTTAAATCACGAATTTGTTCTTCATAACTTTCTTCACGTTGTATAGCCTAAAAAATATGATTATTAATTATCATTTTTTTCTATTTAATAAGAAGTAAAAGGTTGGGATTTTCAAACATTCTTGTATAAACATTCTTCTATGAACTACCTCTTGTTCAGAAACTTCAAGTGATTTCATATTGTTACCAACAACTTTGAGTTCTTCTTCGAGTTCAAGAGTTTTTCTAAAAAAGATTTTTGAAAAAAAAAACTCTTATTTTACCTTTGTTAAAAACACTTCTTTCGAACGTAATTCATAATGTAAATGTTTCACATCCTGTTCATATTGAGCAATTTTACTATAATAGGGGGGAAAAAAAAACAAAGACATGCAGGAATAAAAACAAATCAATCATTTATGCATGCATACTCTTCAAATCTTTGTGCACGATCATCAAGTCTTTCCAATTCACCTTCACGAACTTTCAATTTACGTGCTACCTAAAATCAAAAATCACATATATACACTTCAAATCTCATGCAAAAAAAAATGAAGAGCAGGTTAGTAAAATCCAAAAAAAAAACAAAGAAAAAGAATTCACCGTGCAAAAGAAAAGAAGAAACACGAATGCATCTTACGCTTCGGCGGCTTCAGCACGATCTTCAGCACGTTCCAAATCGACTTCCATAATATTAATACGGCGAGCAACCTGGACTCATATTTAAAATGACTCAATTTTTTCTTTTTTATTTCTTATTCAAATGACACTCATTTAATAAATTATTATTATTTTTTTTTTTTTGCTAATCACCTCATCATATTTTCGATCGGAATCCTCAGCTATAAGCTGTGCTTCAGCCAATTGCTGTTCAAGTGTAGCAATACGTTCATCATCCTGGTATGTACGTTGTTCAAGACCTTTGCGACCACTTGAGATTGAAAGAAGAAAGAAGAAAATAGATGATAAATATAAACAAAAAATAGAAAAGTTAATAATTAATAGATAACTTAAACTCTATTCCCACTATTTCGCTAACAAAAATAATCAAATAGTGCAGTGTTAGTAGAAAAATTCAAGCATAATTAGCATTTTTTTTTTTTTTTTAATATTTAATTTTCTACCTCGTCATATTTTCTCTCATTCATATGACCCAATTGTTTTGCCTCTTTGAGTAGCTGTTCAAGTGTATCATATCTGTTACCATAACCAGACACTTTGCCATCAAGAATAAGACGTTTTCTAAAAAATTTGTTTTTGTATGTGTGTGTATGTTTTTTTTTTAATACCTTGGGGATTTTCTCATTATCAATTAAGAATACAAAAAACCTAACTTTATTATTCAGTATGATTACTTACCGTTCACTTTCATCAGCTGCTTTCGAAGCTTCTTCAAGTTTTTGTGTAGCTTGTGTAAGACGTTCTTCAGTACGTTCAAGATCTTCTTCAACTAATTGTGTACGACGTTGAAGACCACCTATCTCACCTTCGGCCTAAAATAATCACACAAAAAAAGAATAGATTTGGTTTTTTTTTTTTGTATTTAATAAAATAAGATCACACTTGTTCTCGTGCATGTTTTTCACGTTCACGTTCAATCTGATATGCATGCAATTCATCTTGCGATTTAGCCAATTCATCTTTCATTTGTTGCATACGTTTTCGAATTGTATCAATAACAGAACTACCTGATTCATTCATTGATGAAGAACTCGAACTTTGTTGTGGAGTACGATTTAATGTTCGTAAAATACCATTATTTAAATTTGCAGACATTTTCTTGTTTCAATGCCGTATATGTGTGGTCAACAGAACACTATTCTACTGTAGACAACCATGATTCATGTTGTTCATGCCTCCTTATCGATGAGTTGAATAGATGTCATCGGAATGAGTTACCTCTCTTGACAAAGAAGAGCCATGGCTGAATGATTATATAATTTTTGTTGTTATTATATAGATCGAAAAGTGTTATGATCGGATGTAGGCGCCACCTATCTTTGACTACTATATCCAACTCCTACAATGTTACTACTTCTGTCGATATTTCTTTATGATTAAACCAGAAGAGTTCTCTATCGAACCAGTGATTTTAAAAGTATTTCATTAGATTGTGTTTGAAAACTGAAAGTGTATTCTCTTATTTTTCAATAGAATGCATAAATATGTACATATATGAAGAAGAAGAACATGTTCTCAAACAGATAAAAGTGAAAATAAACTCAGACAATCTAGAGTTTAGGGAGTGATGAATAAGATGAAACTAATTAAGAAGACTTACGTCAGTAGCAATCTTCTCTTTGGCTTCGAGTTTAGCATTAGCTTCGGCTAATTGTTCTTGAACAGCATCGAGCTCTGATTCGATCTGTTGAATCTTTTTTTGTAAACTATTGCCTTCTTCCTCAGACTACAAATAAATGAAAATTTTTGCTATGAAAATTCAATAATTCAAAAAAGAAAAAACAAAACATACTGCTTTGACTTTTTCTTCTAAATCCTTTTGAGCTATTTCAGCTTGTTCGGCACGATCGGCAGCATTCTCTTTTTCAAGTTTCATAGATTGCATTTTCTTTTTGATGGAATCCATCGTTGCTGTTGTATTTGCATTTGATGACATGTTGACCGGTTTAAATTGAAAACTTTTTGTTTTTTCGAAAAAAGAAAATTCAACAGATCTAAAAAATTAATAAGATTCAAGGACAATTCTAGATAAACGTTCGGCAAAAGATGACTGAATATTATCGATAATAAAGATATTACTCTACGACAAATACGGAAACAATTGTGTCTAAGACATATAAAAAGAACTTAGAGGAAAAAATGCGAGTCTTCGTTGAAGATAACAAATAACAGGCAATAATAAATTCTCGATATATATGGTATGCAAAAGTACTCTCTTCATTGTTAGATGCATTTACATGCTCCTCTTCCTGTATCGGAGTGGTAATGGTACCGATGATAAAGAGAAAAAAAATCATGGTTTATTAGTTACGTGCATATACATATATAGATTTGGGTGTGTTTGAAGAAACAGATAGATTTAGACTCTTTTGCTTTTCTCTATGTTTATTCGTCATCAATATGCTAGCTAACGATGGATCTATATGTAAGTTGTACGATACTACTTTTTCTTTGTTTGATTGTCTTTTTTTTTTTTTTTTTTCGCCACTTTTTTTTTCTTCTTTTCTGTTTGATATTGGACAAAGAATGATTATAGGAGGACGGAAAGGATCTAAACATATTTACGTCTTAGAACAACGACAGTAAGAGAATGTTGCTTAACGAGACTAACATTTTCCTGATTAATATTCTTCTATGCTTAGGTATGATTGGAAAAAAAAGCATATTGGTATTGGTATTGGTATAGTAGTAGCAGCAGTATAGAAGAAGAAAAAAGAAATATGAGGAAACAATTTATGTATACGTGATTTATCATCGGTTATGAAGAAGAAAAAATGTATAGTCTTCTGTTTCTCACTAGTATTCTTGCCTTAGTTCTCTACATATGTCCACATATTGCTCTACGACATTATCCAGTTCTAAATGAGAAAAGCGCAGATATATCTTCAATTGCTAAATATATTAATATACAAAATAATCGGAAGAAAAAAGAAGTTTTTTTTTGTTTTTTTGTTTTATTGATAACTATTTGAATTATAACAAGCGGATGAAATATTCAATGTACAATTAAATTAGCCTATATATAATATAAAAATTATAGATAAGAAACTATTATACTGATAAGTGAAGAAATCCCATGATGAAAATTTTCTTTTTAATAATGATAAACAAATAAAGGATAATGTTTCTTCTTGTACAATATTAGAATTATAACGATGATGATTTTAATTGTGTTTAGAAAACAAATTGATCAACATAAAAAGAAAACAATCTTGTCATAGTTCTAAACATGTTAATAAGTAATTTCTGTTATCTTGTGATATTAATCATGATTACAAATATATTATTATATGATAAATTATGTTGAATAAAATTTTGTCTAACATGTGTTGTTTGTTTATTATAAAATGAATATATAAATAGTACCAAACTTTAATATTTACCATTCAGAAGTCATTTTATCATCTTTTGAATTTTCAATTGCTAAATATTATAAATATAATTATAATAATTCTAAGTAAAATAATAGAAATTTCTCTTTTTTTTTTACATGAGTTTAACTATCAATAGATAATCTTCAATATTGCTGAGATAATGTTGATATACTTGTTGATAAGAATAAATCATTTGTAAAGAAGAAATTGGTTTCTATCAGAAACTTTTCTCATGTCAATGTCATTTATTTAAGTAACTCAATCTCATATTAGTTGTTTCTTTTCCTATCACATGAGATTTAGTTCGATAATGTAATTTACTATGGTTTATCTTTAATATATCGCACGTATGAAGTTCAAGGTAAAAAATAACATAAACAATCTGGAATTGTGTTTTATATAACATGGTTTTTTTTTTCATCTCAATAAACATGAGAAAAATGATATAATCCATATTTATTATTGTGATGAAAAGTCAATAATAGTTGAGTTTGACAAAAAGATATTGATTGTAAAACTATATATATATATTTCAATTGTTTAGTTCTATTAATCAAGCAATCATTAATATTAAATTGTTACGTATGACATAGATTAATTAGATGTGCCCTCGATTCTTTCTTTAGATTATTATTGATAATGAGAGGAAGAGTCTATGATGATGTATTGTTTTTTTCAGAGTTTTTTATTTTTGGAAACAAAACTAATTGTCGTATATATGATAAAAACAGTTGTGTCTTATTATTTGGTAGATGAAAGCTTGTACTTAAAAAACCTGATGACAAGTTCGACATAGTACAGAATTCAAGCATCATTTTATATCGAGAATGAATTATAAATAACGATAAAATTAGAGAGTAAAATAGGCAAATAAATTTTATCCACGGATGAGAATAATTAATATTGATCCTATTCAGATAAAAATATTAAGTTTCATAATCTTATGACTTATCCTTAAAAGAGCAGCCATACCAATACAAAAGGATAGTATGTTGATTCAAGTCAAGCAAAATGAGTTGATTGAACTCTGAAATTTTGATTATACTCAATTAACGGATTTTTCATTAATTTTGTTTTCGGTACGGAGTGACAACAATTCGTCGTCGAGGAATTCAATAATTTTCTAGTTTCAAAAAAGCAAAATCTCTACTACAAAATTGTGTAAAGATTCTCAAACAAAGTGCGTTAGAAAAATTTCGTTATCGAACTCAACCGATAACGTGAAAATTTTATTTTTATCAATTTACAATGCTCCATCGTAGTATCACAAAACTCAATAAAAGACAGAAAATAAGACCAACTTTGTCTCAGTAGATGGAAATTTTCTTTTAAATTCGATAAGCATTCAAAAAACTTCATCAACCAAACATGTTCTTAAAACTTTTCAGACTTCAATAAATATTTTGAACCAAATATCTTTTTTTAGAGACTTTGCTTTTTCTAGCAAGAAAACTATTAAGTCTCATTTTCAACCTTAAATGATAATTTGATCTCTAATATCATATTGCTAATTAGTTTTCATTTGATCAATTTTTCTTTTTAAAAAGTTGTATATCACATGCTAGTTGTTTATAACATATTCTTATTTATATTTATGTTAGTCTTCATTAATCAAAAAATAAATGATGTCTAATAATTTTAAAAATCAAGTTCATGTCTATGAACAAGAATAATTATTGATTGAATTAATGTCCTTTAAGATGATTGATCAGTTGTTATGTTGAAAATGATTTATAATTCTAAATTAATAAATGAACAAAAATTTTTCTCGGATTACACATTGACTAATCTTTGATGTAGATTTGTAGTTATATAAAATTGATTGATAATGGAAAATGATTGAAATCGAACATATGTTGGAACAATTGTTTCTCTTAATGTATCTGCAGAGAATTGAAGGACCAAAAAGAAATAATCAATTTGATTAAAAGGAAGAAAATTACAAACAAAAACTATCGAACATTGGATTGAACAATAACTTATTTACAATTTTAACCAAAATTGTGATTTTAGTCAAACAACATTCTCAAAGAATTTGTGCCGATGAATGTAACAATAACGAAGGTATATTTTGATAAATGAACTTTATTCAGAAATTAGAAAACAATGATGAGATTGGATTTCAGCTGTTTCTTTCTTCTTTTATTCACGATGTAAAATACTAATTGCTTTGTTCTTGGCCTTATTCATCAGATCTGACTCCCAGTGATTATTTCCTGTTCTCAGCTTTTAAAGATCATTTCAAAGGAAAGCATTACAATAATCGAAATTCATTAGGTTCAGTGATACATCAGTGTCTGAACCGTCTATCTGAAGATGACTTTACATCAGGTACATAAAAACTTTCAAAACATTGATAAAATTGAGTTTCAGCTGAGGAATACTACTTCGAAACAAAGAACATATGTTTTGTTGTTTTTAAACAAAATCAATTCGAGAACTTTTTAAACGTTCTACTTATATATAAAAGTGGTGGGTGGCCAGATTACATGATGTCAGAGAAAACAAAGAGATGAGACATATCTAGTCGTCACAATAAAAGAGATAAGAAAGAAAGAAAAGAACAACGATAGAGATAAAAGGAAAAATAGAATATGTGAGGACGAAGGTTGTAACACCTGCATGTAGGCATAGTATGAAGGAGATATATTACAATGAAGATTGCTGTAAGATTAGCTATCATTAAAGACCATCGGGTCCAAGTCTGTGGACCAATCCAAC